ACTACTACTACTATTACTACTACTACTACTACTACTACTACTTTTATTTCTACCACTACTACCACTGCTACTACTACTACTACTACTACTACTACTACTACTACTACTACTACTACTACTACTACTACTACTACTACTACTACTACGGCTACTACTACTACTACTACTACGACTACGACTACGACTACGACAACGACTACGACTACGACTACGACTACGACTACGACTACGACTACGACTACGACTACGACGACGACTACTACTACTACTACTACTACTACTACTACTACTACGACGACGGCGACGACGACGACGACGACGACGACGACGACGACGACGACGACTACTGCTGCTACTACTACTACTACTACTACTACTACTACTACTACTACTCCCACTCCCACTCCTACTCCTACTCCGACTCCGACTCCGACTCCTACTCCTCGTCGCCCTCCTTCTCCTCCTTCTCATCATCCTCTTCTTCATGTCATTGTTATTATTGTTCTTCTTCATATTCGTATTATCATTATTCTTATTATGATTCGTATTATTCTTTTAATTGATTACATTATTCCTCGTCGTCTTCTGCTTCGTCTTCTTATTAGTCTTCTTCTTATGTTTTCTCCTCCTCCTCCTCCTGCTCCGTTTCCTCCTCCTCCTCCTTCTCTTCCTCCTCCTCCTCCTATTCCTCCTCCTCCTCCTCCTCCTCCTACTCCTTCTACTCCTCCTCCGCCTCCTATCCCTCCTCCCACTCCTCCTCCTCCTCCTCCCTCCTCCTCCTCCTCCTCCCCTCCTCCTCCTCCTCCTCTTCATTCTCATCGTCCTCCTCCTTCTCCTCCTCCTTTTCCTCCTCCTCCTCCCGAGCGCTGACTGGAGGGGTTCGCCCGACCTTTTAGCGGAAGTCCCTCCCCCTCGATCTGGACGGGGGCTGGCTCTCAGAGGGCTCTAGATTGCCCAAGCTGGCCTCCAAGAGGGCAGACGATATATCCCAGCGTGGTTCCGGATGGCCTCCAAGATGCCTCCAAGTGGTGCCATGACCCCCACCATCTCAAACGACTGCCTCAATTGGTCGCGGAGCCTCCCAAGGAGGCCCCCGAGAGGCCAAAATCAAGGGACACCCAATGACACTGGCCGTCTCGCCTGTTTTCTTCCGATGGGCTTCTGAGGCCTCAATATGCTTCCAAGATGGCCAAGACAGCCCTGGGAGAGGCCCAAGAGGGCCCCAGACAGCCTTTAGAGCGCCCAAGAGCGCCCTCAGAGGGCCCCCAGAAGCGACTCGTAGGGCTTCAGGGGTGCGATACTGATTTCGCACCCCCTCCCTCTGCTCAAAGCCTAAACAATTGAACAACAAGTACTTGTTCAAACAGTGGTGCATCTCGGGGGCATCCTTTTCAGAGGCTGTGTTGCCAACGTGGCTCAAAGATGGCTCCATGTGACTCGATGTGGCCTCCAAGCTGGCGCTAGATGATTCAGAATGGACCACCATGTCCTCCAACGTGCCTCCGAGACGCCCCAAGACGGCTCCAAGTTGTCACCGAGCCCTCCCAAGGATGCCCCAAAGAGGCCCACATCCATCAACAACCCAAGGACGCAAATAAGTTGGGCATTCTCGAACTTGCGCTTCCAATGGGCTTCTGAGGCCCCCAGGTGGCGCCAACATGGCCCAAGATCGCCGAAGCTGGCCTCAAAAGCGCCCCAGGAGGACTCGAATGAGCGATTTGTTGAGCTCCACAGGGGCGACGCTGCTTGGGAGCCCTCCAATATGGCCCCAAGAGGGCGACCACAGATCCTGAGAGGACCCCAAAAGGATCCCAAATGGATCTCCAGAGGGCCCCAAGAGAGCCCGAAACACATCCAAGATGCCCTGAGAGGGCCCCACGAATGATCACCTTCGCGGTAGAAATCATCCTCGTCGCATTCATCACTATCGCCGCGATCATCACGCAGCATCCCCGTCGCCATCAACCACGAGCGAAATCACCACGATCGGTATCGCCATCATCGTCGCCGTCGGCTTCATCAGCCCGTCCACGATTGTCGACATTACCTTCACCGTTGTAGTAAAAGGGCGTAGGGAGACGAGCAACGCATCGTCAAGGGCGTCATTGGCGACACCGTCTCCAGCGGCGGACCAGGCGCTTGATCTGCGAGGCGTCGAGAGAATACTACAGTCTCTCATCATTGGCCGGGGTCAAAACCATCGAGACCATGTGGACATATGTCCAAGAACGGTCGCAATCTTCGCAATCGCCATCATCATGGTCTTCGCCGTGGTTTCGCTGCCGTCGCAATCAATGTCCCATCTCAAGAGTTCGAGGGATCAAGTGCCCGATCAGCGGCTCAAACGAGCGGGCCCTGCCAGCCCTTGATACGCATGCAGCCTGAACTTGCGGACAGGCGCTGAACGCATGCAGGTATCGTATCGCAAGGGCTACCAACTACGCAGCGCAATACGCGCCAGGGGATGAACCAGCCAAGCACCCTGCGCGCGCAAATGGCGGGTCCACAGAAGCTCACCATGTCCCGCCTGCGCCCTCCTTCTCACCAACACTGCGGATCTCTGCTGGCGAGCCTTTTTAGAGCGAGCGAAACATTCTGAAACCATGGCGAATCGCGGAGATCTCTTGGAACGGCACTGAGGTGTTCGGCCTTCTCAGCCAGTCCGAGCGACGTCTACCCCAAAATCTGCAGAAGTCCCATCCTCTCTGTCTGTGTACCTCTCTCTCTTTCTCGCAACGTCTCTCCATATGCACATATACATATATAGATCTATATGTGCCTCCCTTGCACCAGGGCGAAGACTTTCATCCTCGTGCGATCGTACCAGAGCTGCGCAGCTCAAATGATGCAACTGAAAACTGAATCCCTGCCGCTGCAACAGGCTACAAGCCAATCCAATATGCGCGCGAGCTGCATGATCTGCCGGCGCGGCTCTCTTCCTACCATCTCGAGCCGGCGGATGAAAAATAATGCCCGCTTGGTACGCGTTGACGACTGTCACCATGGACCTGTGGGCTTGCCCTCAGATGGCGACAACCGCCATCGATCCCACCACCATCACCATAGTCAGATCAACGTCGTCATCGTCAACCTCATCAGCAGCATTCTCACCACCACCACCACCACGATCATCAATCTCATCGTCGTTGTCGACATCGTCATCATCGTCGCCGTCATGATCCATCACCATCCTCGTCGGCACCGTCACCGCCATCATCGTCCCCCGCCGCTTCGCCGAGCCACCGTCGTGCGGCCTCGAGGTACGCGAGCGCGTGAGACTTGGCGCACGCATCGTGGCCCTCGCAGCTGCCCTCAACGCCAGACACGCCCGGGCACATCTTGCGCTTGACCACCACGGCGGCAGGCCCCGCGGCCTAAGGTAGAGAGGGGAGACAGGGGACGGACGCAGAGGGGGAGAAGGAGGGGGGAAGGAGAGGGCACGGAAGGAGGATGGAGAAAAGAGAACGAGGAAGGAGGAACATCAGTGCGGTGTCACGAGGAGCAGCAGGAGCAGGAGCAGAAGCCAGAGCGAAGGGGGGCGAGGAGAAGGTGGAAGAATAAAGGAGACAAGAGACACACGAACACATAGACACAAATCCCAGGAGGCCCCGTGTTCCCCGTATGCCCTGGGTGCTCGCCTTCCCCCCTGCACTTCCCATATGTTCCTGGAAACCGACATTTCTTTCTGCCTGTGTGTTTACCCCCTCCTGAAAGAAGGGGGGAGGAGGGGGGGAGGACGGTGGGGGGGGTCTCCACCCTGCCCTCCACTCCGCGGGCCAGCTTCACATCCTTACACGCTGCGTCCCTGGACTCTCTGGGAAAAGGGGGCGGCAAGAGGCTGGGGCGCAGCGGGCACAGATCACCATGTGGCTCCTATAGGGGCCAGATCAGGGCTGGACCTGCACGTTGTGTTTCGTGGTGTTGTCGTTTTGTTGCCCGTTTTGCTCTGCCTGTTTTCCTGTACCTCCCTGCCAAAACAAAAAACCAAAACACAGCCGAAGTCCAGCAAAACAGCGTTTAGGTCCAGCAATGGGCCAGAGGTTTATCCACATCCACTCTGCCACTGGTTTCTAAGGAAGGGAGCCCGAAACTCCCGGACGCAATGGCTGTGGATACAAGGCCTGTCCGCGCACTCCTGCAGCGTCGACGACAACATGTCCGTGTTGAAGGGATGCGCGTTGACGTTGCTGAAGGGGCCCGGGGACACAAATAACTAGACCCATGAATCTCAATATCTATCAATATGTTCTGCAGTTTCGTCTCCCTCCCAAGGTTCCATATGTTCAATTTGTCGGAAAGATATCGGCGATTATTGGTGTCTGTATGTGTTCCCTTCCTGAATTGTACCGCATTGTCATTCGGCTAGTTGGAGGGGCCAAGATGGGGTCGGCTGGGTGGCAGAGCAGGAGAATGCACTATCACGGAATCCACCACCGTGCCTCTGGTCACGGAGTGGGCGTGTCCTCAGGTCCTTCGCGCAATCTTCCAGGCCTCAACCCTCATACCTGAGAAGTCTTTCAGGGGCCCGGAGCCATGGTTCCTAAATTTGGCAAGGCTTCTCGTGTGCCCCCTGGGCTCCCGAGCATCGTGTCGCGTGATTTTTTCGGGACCAAGAGGGCCCAACGAGGCCGACGGTATAAGGACAGGAGCAGCGGGAGCGACTGGAGAAGGGGCAGGAGCTGGAGAGGCAGCAGGAGCAGCCGAAGCGAGGTCAGCATGAGCGGGAGCAGCTGGAACGGGAGCAGCTGGAGAAGAAAAAGCGTCAAAATCAATGGTAAGGACGCACGGCAAGGACGCAAGACCCTGGGACGGTCCCTGGACGCACCAGTGGAAGGCTTTTCTGGCGGCACGCAACTGTGCCCTTGGGAAGGTTACCCATCCTTACGATATATAGAGATTTCAACTGTAGCCACTACAGTGTAGCGGGAGTTGGAGCAGCACAGGGAGGAGCACGAGCAGGAGGACGACGTGCATCGCCGGCCGCATCTGAGCGGGCGGCGAGAAGAGCGCGACGCATCGCCGCGTACAGCGCGTCGATGTCTTCGCCGTCGACGTCCTCTGAAGGACAAGGACGGGAGTGGGAGTGGAGTGGGGACTCCCTAGGACGGGAGTGGGAGTGGAGTGGGGACTCCCTCCTCACCATCATCATAATAATTAGCATCAAGGTCATCCTCACCATCGCTGTCCCCCTCATCTGCTCGAACCTTTCTCAATCCTCCCCCTCCTGCCCCTCCTTCACTCCTCAACATTACCAGCATCATCACCAACATCATCACCAACATCATCGTCATCGCCACCACCGCCACCACCACCATCACTACCGCCATCACCATCGTCATCAGGATCAGCATAATCATAATAACCATCATCATCAGCAGCGTCATCATCGCCCTTCCCACCACCATCACCGTACGCGGCACTACCACCATCACTAGCATCATCACCACCGTCAACACCACCATCACAATCACCATCACCACCATCATCATCATCAGCATCGTCATCAGCATCATCATCATCAACATCATCAGCATCAGCATCAGCATCATCATCGGCATCATCATCACTTTCAGATGCACCAAACTCGGCATCCTCATCACCATCATCACCACCATCATCATCATCATCATCATCATCATCATCATCACCACCATCATCATCATCAACAGCATCACCATCATCATGAGCAACATCACCATCATGACCATTATCACCAACATCATCATCATCATCATCATCATCAGCATCATCCGCAGCAGCATCATCATCATCACCACCATCATCATCATCATCATCATCATCATCATCATCATCATCATCATCATCATCATCATCTGCATCATCATCTTTATCATCATCAGTAGCATCATCGTCACCATCATCAATGTCAACACCCTCCCTCACAATCATCACATCATCACCATCGATCATCACATCATCACCGACGTACCCCTGCATAGAATCATCCACCTCTTACGTGTTCCCCCTCTCCACATCCCTCCTCCTCATCCTGCAACTCCAGCTCTCTCTATATCTCCCCACTCCGAACGTCTCCTTCGACGTGCTGCCGGGCACGCCCGAAGCGTCAGCCCCCTCCTCCCCCTTCTCCTCCCCCTCCTTTTCCACCTCCGCCTCCCGTCCGCCCCTTCTCCTCCCCCTTCTCCTCCCCCTCCTCCACCTTCTCCTCCCCCTCCTCCCCTTTTCCACCTCCTCCACCTTCCCCCCCCCCTCATTCCCCTTCTCCTCCCCCTCCTTTTCCACTTTCTCGTCATGATGCCCCATCCTCCTCCCTCCTCCCGACCCTCCCGCATCGCCTCCCCCCCTGCCCCCCTGCTCCGCCGCCCGCCCCCGCTCTCCGGCATCCCCGGGCCTCGCTGGGCACGCCCTGCCCGGAGAGCGTCTGGCGCAGGTCGAAGCCCTGAGAGCGTCGTCGGAGCAAGGAGGAGGAGGAGGAGGAGGAGGAGGAGGGGGAGGGCGGAGGGCGAGGAAGGGGGAGGACGAGGAGGGAGCCGGGAGGACGAGGATAATCATCACTTTGGACAAACGGTGGAAGAGGGTGGGACGACCCAGCCCAACCCACTGCCAACGGGGCAATGGCCAGGCCTCTTCGTCTCCACGACACCTCAGCAGCTCTGCAGCGCGCCCCATCCTTCTGAGGAGCTGGGGGGGCCCAGAGCTGGCTGGGCGAGGCACCGTCGCGCCGATGTCGCAGCTCTGGGATGGCCAGGGCCGGGCTTCTTCAACGATTTCATCGCGTCTCTGGTGAAACGACAAGAACCCAGTGTCCGAGCGGTGCCTTATCTTGGCCGGATATGGGACAGAAGGACACCCTTCAAGAACATGAGGCCCTCCGCCAGCCAACCTGACGAACATTCGAAGGCACCCTCCCCCAAGGATGCACAAGAACATCCAACAAACAGGAAAAACATTGGGGTAACCTCTCCAAACCGGCCTCGAACCTGTACCTAGGTCTGACCGCAATTGAGGCCGACATAAGAGAAGGAAAAATTACATAAACGTAACAACTCGGAGATCCGCGCGGATTTCTCGGATCGGCGCTGGACCCCCCACCCTGGCGCGCGGAGCGCGCCAGGGGCAGCGCCGGAGGTAACGCCAGTGGGGGGGGCTCCAGCGCGGATCCGAGAAACCCGCGCGGACCTCCGAGTTTTTATGTTTGTGTAATTTTGCGTTCCCCTAGTGCGGAGGCCAGTCAACAAGAACCCTTCCACAAGACACCCAACCCTGGGACCCCAGGACGTCCATTGACTTTTTGTGTGGGCACGTCGCGCTTTCCTTCGCAAAGCCATCGAGACTTAAGAAACCCAGGGCACCGGCACCCTAGAGGCAGGCAAGGTGTTTCTTGGCATGGGCCTCCACTGTATTGAGGCCATCTTGGGTGTCTTGGAGCGGTCTTGACCGTCTTGGAGGCCTTGGAGGCATCTCGGGACGGGCTCGAAGCGCGGGCACGCCTCGGGCACCCCGGTCCCGTACCTCCTCCTCCTCCTCCTCGTCCTCTTCCTCCTCCTCCTCCTCCACCTTCTCCTCGTCCTCTTCCTCGTCCTCGTCCTCGTCCTCGTCCTCCTCCTCGTCCTCGTCCTCGTCCTCGTCCTCCTCCTCCTCCTCCACAATTACACAATATGAAAATACTCTCCCACTTCCCCTGGTGGCGTCCCGAAGATATCCGACACCCCCCCGCGTACTGTTTTTTACACACAGGATTCCCGGGAAACAGGTTTTCGCATGCGTTTTTTTTCAAAATGCTGCTCTCGCTGAGGCGCCGGCCTCATTTCTGCTCCCGAATCGTTCCGATCCGTGCTCCCGCTGCAGCGTGGGCCTCATTTTCGGATCGGTGTTTGGCCTCCGTCGTTCAGGATGGCATTCTCGCCCCAGCGCGGGCCTCTTTCTCGCGCGCCCATCCGCCCGCCACCACCGCGCCGCACCACCACCACCACCACAACCACCACCACCACCACCACCACCACCACCAACCACCACCCACCAGCACCACCAGCACCATCAACTCACCAGCACCAGCACCCAGACCAGCACCAGCCCAGCACTAGCACCAGCACCAGCACAGCACACGCACACACGCAGGCACACACATACACACCACAACCACAACAACCACAACCACGCACACACGCACGCACGCACGCGCACCACAACCCACTACGCACACGCGCGCGGAGCCACAGGTCCGCTACGACACGCGTCCGCCGATAGAGAAAATCAGCGCCATGGTAAGGGATGGGAGGGAGGGGTAGGACGTCAGATATGACGCGAGCGCACCTAGCTTGTCC